ATACGCCGCGACGAAGAAGGGCCAATCGATAGCAACAGATCGTGCCATGATGACAATGACAAACCGACGCTTTCCACCCCAAGATGCCATGCTTGAATCACAGTACACTGGGAGATTACAGAGAGTTAGTATTAAAAAGTACATTGAGGTTACTAGCTTGAGGTATAGATACGATCAGATTACGTCAACGACGCAGGTGCAATGTTCGCCAGGTGCTGTATGCAGGCATGCCGCACTCACTTGATGAGGAGCAGGTGTGCCGCATTACAATGTGCCGCGAACGATGTGCCGCGTTGTCAAGCAGACATTCATGAAAGGTAATTACCAATATAGCTAGTTATCCTCATTTGTACAGATGTGTATCTCTGGAATCTTCCGTGTGTACCAACGACTGAAGTTCTCACAACCAGCATTCAGACTGGAGATCAGCCAGCAGTCAGGAGATGATGACCAATACGCTTCAGAGTTTTGTTTTGAGATCATGTTTTATCAGTGGAACACTTTATTTTAGAAAGTGTCCATTCTCAGTCAGCAGTAATCAACAATTCACTTAATTGTGAATTGATGTATCTTCAGTTCAGATCAAATCTATTATTCAGTATTAAAATACTGAATTCTTAAGTCATGTAATCAGTAAGTATAAGCTTTAAGTTAAGCTTGTACATTCCGGTTTTAGTATTTCCGAGGACGGAAATATTTTAAAGGGGGTGGATTGTAACGCCCCGTATTTTATTAATAAAGGAAAATACTAGCTTTTAGTTTTAAGCTAGCCTTTATTAATAAATAATCATGTTCATGTTCAAGTTCAGGCTAATCAGTCAGTTATATTCTATGTTCGACTGTTAGTCGATAAGTTATTCGGTTTAATTAATTCAGTAACCGAATAAGTTTTCAGATTTAATTCGGATTCATTTACTTAATTAATGAGTTCGGAATTAATTATTCAGTCAGGAGTATCCAGTCATGTTTTTAGTTCCAAAATAATAATAGTTTCGAGTATTATTTTCGGAATTAATTATTTCCGTCATTTCAGTTAAGATTACCGAAAATTATTTTCGACGTCCCGTTTACATTCGAAATAATTTTGGTAATTAAGTATTATGCTTAATTAAGTAATTAAGCACTTAATCATGATTAAGTTAAGGACATGACCAAATGCTCCATTTTCCTCCAAAATGCCGTGGGTAAATGAGTTGGGAAAATTTGTACAAAAATCATGTAAGTCACCACTCATTTAAGCATGAGGTGTCCTAATACATCAATTAAGCTATGACTAAGCCTAAAGGTGGTGTTTAAGTTTAATATATAATTCAGTCCATTGAGAAAGAATTAGAATCCTTAAAAATAATATTCATGCAAAATAGACACCTAAGATGGTGATAAGGCATTAATAAGGCCACGTAAAGGACACTTGTCCTTATGCCAATTAAAAAGAATTCCACTACCTTTTCGTACTTTGGCTATAAATAGCATTAGAGGTGCATTAGGGGTGGATTACCAACAACTTTATTCAGCATGTAGACTAAGTCATTCCACATTTACCAAAATAAGGAGAAAAGTCTTGGAGGCTAAGGAGATTGAGGGAAATTTCTTATCTTCCATTCATATTCATTAAGCCACTTTTGTTTTTATAGCCTAGTACTCTAGCACCTACTTGACATATTAGAACAACCGAGAGTGTTAAGGTGATATTAAAGCTAGTTAATCCATCCAAGATCTATTGTAGCTAGCCATCGTTGAGAGAGCATCGTACGCGGAGAGCTTACCGGTGAGCACCTCGACTTTCCTATTGTGCTCATCCCCACCTGCTCTTCATGGATGCAGGTTAGTTTATGCGGCACAGCGGAGGGGATGCGAGTGGAGGTCTTTAATTTTGAATAAATGCTTCCGCTTTGAACTGAACTTGGATATTATCGCATTATTATTGATTATTGCTTTTCTAGTATTGGAGTATTGGATTATTGAAAGGGATTATTTCCATAGGATTATTATTGGATTATGATTGATTATTGGGATTTTTATATTGATTATGAGTATTGATAATTGCCGAGTATTGAGAAAATGTTGAGCATTGATTATTATTTTGAAAATGAGTAGCACCTCAGATATTGTTTTTGAAATAAATTCGAAAAATTTATTCTGATTTTCGGTAAATAAAAGTGGGGCGTTACAGTTTGGTATCAGAGCCATTTTGCGTTTCTGTAGACTGGTTTAAGTATAAAAAGTTGATTATGTGATTATGTGTTTCGAATTCATGTTAAGACCACTCGCTCTCGTCGTGCCGCACCAGCTCAGGTATGAGTATCTGAATGACTTTGAGATTATTGTATATTGGTTGATTATTGATTATTTAAATGAAATCGGGGTTAGGACTATTCCACCTCTAAATACGAACTCTAGTGTTGAACTCTAGACTTCTTTTATTATTGTGCTAAATTGTTCGAACCATTTTCAATGTAGAACTATGGCTCGTCGTAATGTTCTCAACCGTCAGCCTACTCCGTCTCCACCTCCGTCTCCACCTCCGTCTCCATCCCCATCTCCACCTCACCAGCAGGCTTCCAATCCGGCTGGGGCTCATCTCAACATTGTGATTCAGTTTCGCCAGTTGACCCCACCGACTTTCGCCGGGGTCGAAGGGCCCGATGCAGTGGCAGAGTGGATCCGTCAGTTAGAGTAGAATTTTGATTTGCTGCAGTGCACCGAAACCCAGAAGGTCGTCTGTGGACGCTATATTCTGAAGGGCGATGCCACCTTATGGTGGTCCGGCTATTGGAGGTTGAGGCAGGCGGAGTTTAATGCCCTGACTTGGGATCGCATGAAGGAGGTGATCATGGAGAAGTATTATCCTCAGAGTTATCGCATGAGGATGGAGCGCGCTTTCTGGGATCTCAAGCAGGGAGCAGGATCATTCGAGGAGTACGAGCCAGAGTTCACCCGCATGAGCGCCTTTGCTCCACATATGGTGGACACCGACCTGAAGAAGGCCCACAAGTTCCGGGATGGACTGAACCGAACTCTCCGTATGCATGTTGCCAGCCAGGGAAATCTTTCCTTTGATGAGACCGTTATCCGAGCTGTCCAACTTGAGAGTTATCAGACTCTCGATGGTTCTGTCCCTTCTTCTCAGCTAGTTCAGCCTATTTCCTCTGCGCCGCCCGGCTCTAGTTCGGGCAAGAGAAAGTTTGATTCCCGTCGGGATAACCGGAAGGGAAAGTGTGGAGCACCAGACTGCCGTGACGTTCCACCAGCTGCCCAGGGTCAGAACCCGAAATGCCCTAAGTGTGGCCGCTATCATTATGGAGATTGTCGTTTCACCCAGAAGGTCTGCTTCAACTGCATGAAGCCCAGACACTTCTTCAGCCATTGCACCGAACCCCCGAGGCAGCAGCCTTACCAACAGCCCCATCAGCAGCAACAGCTTCCCCCTCTACCTTACCAGCAGTAGCAGCCTCACAGGCGGCCCCCACCACACCAGCAGAAGGCTGGGGGTCAGGCTCGTGTCTATACCATTGCTCACGACGAGGCAGCCAACAACGCAGATACCATGTCTGGCATGATTTCCTTATCCAATGTGCCTATCTTGGCGTTATGTAACACTGGAGCTACACATTCCTTTATATCTTCTCAAGCTTGGAGGCCCTGTCTATTGATAATGTGTGCAACTGTGATCCTCTCGAGGTTAGCCTGGCCTCGGGAAAAATTATTATCTCTGATTCTATGGTTTCTGGTGTTTAGGTTAATATTGGTGGGCATGTTTTGGAGGCCGACTGCTATGTTATTGAAATGCGGGACCTCGATGTGATCTTGGGCATGGACTAGCTAACTCACTATTGAGCCGACATCCGGTGCCAGGAGCACGAGCGAAGTCAGTCTCTTCCCCATTTTCGATCAGCCTGTTATTTTCTATGGGGTGAAGTCGAGGACTGTGCCTCGAGTCATCTCTTCTATGCAAGCTAGGAAGAGCCTTTCCAAGGGTAGCTGTCAAGGCTATCTCATATCTATGGTATCCGAGGATGACTCAAAGAGGTCCCCGGAGAGAGTTTCTATAGTTTGTGAATACCTCGATGTTTTCCCTGATGAATTGCCTGGAGGACCGCCCGACCGCCAAGTGGAGTTTACCATTGACTTAGTACCGGGAGCTGGCCCCCTGTCTAAGGCCCCTTATCGTATGGCGCCGAAGGAGCTTCAAGAGTTCAAGGCCCAGATCCAGGAGTTGCTCAAGCTTGATTTTATTCTGCCGAGTGTTTCGCCGTGGGGAGCGCCCATCCTATTCGTGAAGAAGAAAGACGGATCGATGCGCATGTGCATTGACTATCGGGAGTTGAATACCCTTACAGTCAAGAACAAGTACCCCCTTCCTCGCATTGAGGATCTCTTCGACCAGTTGAGGGGAGCCAGCGTCTTTTCCAAGATCGACTTGCGTTCTGGCTATCATCAGCTAAAGATCCGGGAGTCGGATATTTCTAAGACTGCCTTCCGTACTCGTTATGGCTACTATGAGTTCGTAGTCATGCCGTTCGGACTCAGCAATCCCCCGACCGTGTTTATGGACGTTATGAATAGGGTCTTTCATCCCTTCCTAGACCAGTTTGTTATCGTGTTCATCCACGACATCCTGGTTTATTCCTGAGACATCGACCAGCACAAGGAGCATTTGAGGATTGTGCTGGAGACTATTCGCCGCGAGAAGCTGTATGCTAAGTTCTCGAAATGCGAGTTTTGGTTGGATCGTGTGGCATTCCTTGGCCACATTGTGACAGCGAGAGGCAGTGAGGTGGATCTCAGCAAGATCGAGGCAGTGAGCAAGTGGGATACGCCAAGAAGTGCCGCTGATGTTCGTAGTTTCCTGGGGTTAGCAGGATACTACCGGAGGTTTATCGAGGGCTTCTCGAAGATAGCTCAGCCACTAACCAACCTTACGAAGAAGGCCATGAGGTTCGACTGGAGTCTTAAGTGTGAGGAGAGTTTCCAGGAGTTGAAGAGGAGACTCACTACCGCGCCCGTTCTATCCATCCCCGACCCTACTTTGGAGTTCACCATCTATAGTGATGCTTCGAAGATGGGTTTGGGATGTGTCCTTATGCAGCAAGGGAGGGTCGTAGCCTATGCTTCGAGGCAGCTGAAGCCTCACGAGCAGAATTACCCCACTCACGATCTTGAGTTAGCTGCAGTCGTTCACGCCTTGAAGATTTGGCGGCACTACCTCTATGGAGGCAAGTGTGAGATTTTTACCGACCACAAGAGCTTAAAGTACATTTTCACTCAGAAGGATCTGAATATGCGACAACGTAAGTAGTTTGAACTGGTCAAAGACTACGATTTCACGATTATCTACCATCCTGGGAAAGCTAACGTGGTAGCCGATGCCCTTAGTCGGAGGAGTTATGGCCAGTTGTCCTATCTTTTTACCGAGCAAGATGTTCTTCTTCGGGAGTTCGAGCGGCTACATCTAGAGGCAGTGGAGCCGCCTTCGACAACTAGGGGTATGTTGACCTCTTTGGTTGTGGGACCGACTCTTCGTGAGAGGATAGTCGTCGAGCAACCGAATGATCGTTTTCTTTGCCGGATGAAGGAGTTGTCGGAAGCCGGTAGAGTTGGAGGATTCGCAGTCGCATCTGATGGGGCCTTGGTCTTTAAGGGTAGACTTTGTGTTTTGAAGGTGTGGGAACTGTGAAAGGAGCTTTTGAGAGAGGCCCATAGTGCTCCGTACACCGTCCATCCTGGTAGTTCGAAAATGTATCAGGACCTAAGGAAGTTTTTCTCGTGGCAAGGTATGAAGAGGCAAGTGGCGAGGTTCGTGAATGGGTGCCTGGTGTGTCAGCAAGTGAAGGCTGAGCATCAGAAACCGAGAGGGAAGTTGCAGCCACTTGAGGTTCGCTTCTGGAAGTGAGAGTGCATCACCATGGAATTCTTGGTGGGATTGCCAAGGTCGAGGACCGGGCATGAATTTATTTGGGTGATTGTGGATCGCCTTACGAAGTCTGCCCACTTTTTGCCAGTCCGGACGACTATGAAGGCTAGTCAGTATGCCGAATTGTTTGTGGACGAGATTGTCAAGCTTCATGGAGTTCCCGTGGAGATCGTGTCTAATTGAGACGCGAAGTTTACTTGCCAATTCTGGAAGACCCTGCACCGAGCCATGGGGACGAGGCTGGAGTTCAGTACAACTTTTCATCCTCAGACAGATGGCCAGTCGGAGTGGACGATCCAGTACTTGGAGGACATATTGAGGGCTGTGGTCTTGGACCGTAGCCTAATCTGGGAGAGTGCCTTTCCTTTGGTCGAGCTGACTTACAACAATAGCTACCACTCCACGATCAAGATGGTCCCATTCGAGGCTTTGTATGGACGTAAGTTCCGAACACCCTTGTATTGGGATGAGGTCGGGGATAGGAAGATCATGGGTCCGGAGTTCATTCTTAGAGCTGCGGAGACAGTTGAGGCTATAAGGAAGCATATCCGGTCAGCCCAAGAGAGGCAAAAAGTCTATGCCGAGCCGAAGAGGGATGAGCACGAGTATGCCGTCGGAGATCACGTCTTCCTGAAGGTCTCGCCCATGAAGGGTATGATTCGCTTCGGGAAGAAAGGGAAGCTTAAACCGCGTTATATTGGGCCATTCGAGATCCTTGCCCGAGTCGGGAACTTGGCTTATCGGCTGGCTTTACCACCTAGCTTGTCGGGAGTGCATGACGTGTTTCACGTCTCTATGTTGCGGAGATATGTGCATGATCCCGAGCACGTGGTGGACTTCGGCGAACTGCAGGTCGAGCGAGACCTTACCTACGAGGAGGTACCGATAGCCATATTGGACCAGAAGGTCCATCAGCTGAGGAACCGGGCAGTGAGCTTGGTGAAGGTGCTTTGGAGTCGACATGACGAGTCGGAGGCGACTTGGGAGAAGGAGGCCGAGCTTTGGAGGCGATATCCGAACTTTGAGTTCTGATTTCCCTTTGTATTTTTATTGCTTTCTAGTTTATTTTCGAATTCCAAGGACAGAATTCTTTGTAGGGTGGATAGAATGTAATACCCCGTTTTATTGTGGATTATTTGGGAGTAATCATTGATTATCTCTATTATTATTTGTTACTATTATTATTATTATGATTATTAATATTATTATTATTATGATTATTATTATTATTATTATTATTTTTATTATTTGTCTAATTGTCATTAATTGTTTAAAAGATTATTATTATTAAATAATTATCGTGTGTGATATATATATATATATATATATATATATATATATATAAATGATCCAGTTTATTTTTATTTGTTTATCATCGTCTATTGAAGCGATCGAGAATTTTATTATCGAGTTGTATCCCTTAAAGCCCAATTAAAATGGTCCCGGCCTAATTTGAGTTATATTCATAGGCCTTTATGCCATTATAATTCCAGCCCGAATAAGATTTGTGTATTGGTCCAGCTGAGTACTGTCTTTGGCCCAAAATGTTGTATTATTTTTGGCCCAACTAGAGGTTTATTTTGAGGCCCTAATTAATTCATCGGGCAGACCCATCCCATCTTCTCCTTCCCAATCGCGCAGACCAAGTCGTGCAATTCGAATAGCAGGTGCGATTCTCTCGCGATAATCCCTCGCACGTTCGTGCATCTCGCTCCCACTCCTACTTAAAACTCGGTTAAGGAGCTTCCATCTCAAAGTGTTTCGAATTCAATTTTTATCTCTCTCGTATCCCTGTTTCTATAAAAAAAAAAATTCTCGGCCGCCATTGATACCGGCGAACCGCAGCTTGATCGCCGGTGCTCCCGTCAGTCCCATTGATCCAACCGTTTAGTGAAACTCCATCCCGTCGGATTTCAAGCAGCAAAGCAGCAAGCCGTCACAGAAGTCCCGTCCGCCATTGATTCCAACGAATACCTCCAGCCGCCAATCGAGAAGCTGACGACCTCCGCAGCTGCAGTTCGGGCAACGTAAAGGTCAGCGTCATTTGTCTTTTCCATTCGTGAGCGGTCCCCGTGTTCAGAGTTTCGATTCCCGTCGAGGCTCCGTTCGTCCCATCTCGTTCCAACCCATTTTTTTAATTTCTCGTAAATTCCCGAAGACGGGTAATATTTTACAAACCTCCTTATTATTATGTTCGTACTCGTGATAATTGTTCGATTTTGTTGTGCTCGCTGAAATCATTTATCATTGGATTATTTATCGTTGTTTGTTCGTTCGTTAAATTTTAAATATTGATTCGTGAAATTATTGGAACTTTTGTTCGAATTATCGAGTATTATTGTTGTTGTGGTCGAATCATGTTATTTCGGAGTCTTGTTCTATGGTTTCGAGCTGTACCGTCGTTGATGTGTTACTCGTTCGTTTCTGAACTGCGTATTGTCGTTTTGACTTTTTACCATTTAGAACCGGCTTTTAATGTTATTCGGGACTCTGTAAAAGTGTTATTTTCGTAGATGTTTTATATTCTTGACCCGGTTGCCGTAGGTGATGTCATAGTCGGGTTCGAAATTGATCAATGTTGCATAATTCTGTTTTGCGTATGCTGTTTTAGTCTCTGTTTTCTGTTCGCAGCCTCTGTAGTTTAACCAAAATTCTGTTCAGGTCTCAGGTTTTACCTTTTGAACTATTCGTTTTCAATTATCACTGCAAACATGCGTGTGGTACAGTGGTGACACTGCTCAATGTTGTGAAGGAGGTTCAGTGTTCGAACCTTTATGCCAGCGTTCTTTTATTTTTCCCAGCCTAAGTTGCTATTAAGGCGCGCGGGCTTCAGGCCCGCATTTCGGCCCGCGCGGCCTGATCA